GGGGCCTATTCTAAATCACCTAGGACTGAAGTTACAGTCCCTCTACACGTATCCACACCGACGGGAAGGATTCCAAACGATTTGGAACGAATCTGCTAGGATTAGTGAAGAAAAGGGTAACTCAAGAGACGAGATCCAATCCCGGGAGAATAGAAATCGAAGAGAACAGGTTCTCTAGGGTTCTAGGATGTTTCTCTGAGTTTTAGGTCGACACTTCATTAAGTTTGGACGAAATCCCAAACTTAAATAAGCTTAGAAAACCCTAAAATCGAATTATGGAAACTTTCCGGATCCCGGTCCGCCGGACCAGGAGCTTGGTCCAGCGGACCAAGCTTAGTCCGAGGCTCACAGACCGGCTGACCTGAAGGCTTGATCCGGCGGACCACGCGTGGTCAGCTCCGGACCAAGACCCTTCTTGGTCAGCTCAGTCCGACTCTTCGTTTCTCGGTCCGTCTGACCCACTGTCTATTCAGCGGCTGACCAACTCTTGGTCGGCCGGACCAGGCCTGGACAGATGACCTCAGACCGAGCTTCCGGACCTCCTGGACTGACCAAACTTGGTCCGGGGCTGACCAAACTTGGTCAGCTCCGGACCAACGCACAGAAAACCTCTTTTTCGTGCTCCTTTCGGTCAAATCTCGTTTCTATTCTTCAGATTCTTCACGTATAAGTCCATCCCTATTGGTGTGTGACCCTGTAGGCCCATTCGAAATGCTAGTGGCTTCGGAAACCCTTTCCCGAACCACAAGTCATTGTTAGCCTCTAGCAAGACGCCATGACCGCCCACGTTGAATTGAGTTAGAGGTGATCTAACCAAGGCATTAACAGCTCGAGTTCTGATCCTTTATCTCACGATATCATATGTTGAACAAGGGCATGGTTTGAGCCACCCTTCAAGTTCAACCGCTTTCTCGTCTTGGCAAATCGACTAATAAAATAGATGCAACTTCATCTATAGCGTGGCCACGCATTTTCATAGTCCGACTTCCACGAAAGGGCCCAGCGATATCTCTCCTATTGAGGAGGTGATAAGTCCCATATTGCATGTCTATTATCTCCATATGATTCGTGAACGTATCTGATCAACGTCGTTATAATCATCCGGTTAAAGACGACGTTTGACGCAGTCAAGACACGCCACTCCTCATATCAGATACTCTAGACATCTCAGGTGTGAGGATCCATAAACGAACCGCTGTATGAGATTCAAGTCATGACTCTGTCCATGTGACAATCTCATGCGGGTCAACCAGTCACTCGTTCACAACGAGTACCCATGATTGTGATATGCATCCAATGCATCGATCACACCTCATGCTAGTCTTAATTCATCATTGTTCCCACAATGATAACTGACCAGGGTGTTTAGAATCATTCTATAATGATTCAAGGATACCGAAATACAACAAACATGCTAATCGTATAACGGAAAAATAATGCATTCATAAATCAATGAATCGGTACAAAGTAAAATGTCATATCATGGATCATCCTAGAGCATTACAACCAACACTTTCTACGATCCTCCTCGAACTCCTCGATCTTCTTCTTCAGCGCCTCCACCTCCCGAGTGAGAGTGACGTGCATCTGGAAGATACTGTTTAAACATCTGGCCAAATCCGTCTATGCATTGCTCTGGAAGATTGTAGTCAGTTTTCATGCTCATCAGTTAATGTCATATCATGGATCATCCTAGAGCATTACAACCAACACTTTCTACGATCCTCCTCGAACTCCTCGATCTTCTTCTTCAGCGCCTCCACCTCCCGAGTGAGAGTGACGTGCATCTGGAAGATACTGTTTAAACATCTGGCCAAATCCGTCTATGCATTGCTCTGGAAGATTGTAGTCAGTTTTCATGCTCATCAGTTGCGACGACAATGATAATCTTGGAAGTCCTTGTGCGCATCCTTCATATATTGGAGTATTCGTCGTGTAAAGCATGTCATAAAATCTCTTCGCTTCAACATTGGGGTCTTCCTCCATATACGACGAAGCAACAACATTGGGAAATGCATCACTCACCATATCTACATATGGATTCCTTTCTTCTTCTTGAATGATTACAGGTTGCGCCGTATTTTGGACAAGTTGTTCTTCGACTTGTGGAACTTATGACGAAGACGTACCATACAATTCTCCATGTGCCAACCAAACAAAATAGTTGGACATAAAACCTCTTCTATACACATGCTTCCACACTTCATATTCACTTCGGCCATCTTTTATTCTCGCACTTTGTACACGGAGACGATAACTTTGAACTCTCAATATACAACGTTTGACTTGTCTCAAGTGCCATAAAATGTTGTAACCCTTCCTCAAACTCACGCGAGATTTGATTATTATTGGAAGAATCAAATCTTTGATACATCCACATTCTTGAAGAGAGACATTTTTTTCTGAACGATTTTTTTTATTGAAACTCGAGTGAATGCATGCGCGGTTGATTTATAATTCAATATTGCGACGGATTTACGACAGCTAATTCTGTCGTTACAACTGCATGCGACAGATTACCGACAAATTTGCGACGGAAGTTAGGTAAAACACGAATCACGTGTTTACCTAACTTCGCGACGCACCGACTATGTCGCACATCTGTCACAACAATTTTTCGACGCACCTCCTCTGTCGCAAGTCTGTCGCAACAATTGTGCGACGAAATGCTTCTGTCGCTAATGTGTCGTTAGTTGCTGACAGACGATGTGTCGCAAATAATCTGTAGCATTCCGTCGCGAACCTGTCGCAAAACTTTGCGACAAAAATATGTGAAGGTGTCCATCGGTAATTTGCGACAGAATTTGCGTCCGACTGTGACAGGATTTAGATTCCGCTCTTCTATCACTGTTCTGTCTCTGTCCGCCGCAAAAACGGTTGCGACAGATATGTCCGTCGCAATAGTTATCGCAATTTACAACTTTTCTTGTAGTGACTTAAGAAGATCGTGGATGATTAGAGGCTTTCTCAAAATCGTGTTATCAAACTCCACGCATGCCAAAAGGTTTGGCTTTATTTTCATCTATCTACTGTGGTCTTTCTGTATTACAACAGGATACGTATTAGTTTTAGTTGTTGTTTGGTCTCAGGGTTTTGGAAAATCGTCAATCTGCTGCCCATTCGAAGGAGCGAAAGTTGCGTAGCGTTGTATTGCTGAATTGGAATACAAAGTGTAAGCTCTACAGACAGAAGCGACCACCTTGTCTGCTCCACTTACATTGTTGCAGGTCAATTTCTTTTTTCATTTTCGATTTAAGACTGTTCTGTTTTCTTGTTTTTCACGTGTGAATAATCATTGAAGTTAGTTTTTCTTATCTTGTTTCAGACAGATTCAGCCGGACGTACAAATCAGAACAATGAACTGAATTTCCATCTTCAGTCCATGGAACAACAAGCACATCTCAAAGACGGTATTTGCTTCCTCTCGCCTTATCGAATATGAATGTGTGTGCCACGTTTTACCAAAAGAATAAAAGCTATGTCTTGGAAAATGTTGTTACTTGTCCGTGGAACCCCTTCTTATCTTAGCGAGCGCGTTCCAGTTGACATGTTGCTTGCAATTATGTGATAATTTATTTCATAGAAAAGTTTTCGCAAATTGTTGCAAATTTTGGAAGATTTATTTGAAACAAAAATGAGTGGAAGCGAAGAATTTATGCGATTGATCCCAAATAAACTTGGGATTTAGGTGGTGTTGATGTTGAAAAGAGTAGTGATGCACATTGAGTGAAAATAAGAAACTAGAAAATACTAATAACCCAAAACTATAAAATCAAACACTAAATCATGGGAGTGTTGAAGTATCTCATGACAACTTTTCGTTATGTGCTGCGGCGTTGGATGAGGCATTGATGACAGAAGAAGTTTGAAAGCTGAAGATAGCGGCGGCCGAGATCGGTGGGTATTTTCCCAACTCAATCTCACAGCAGCATCTATCAATCCGCAGACCAACTTCGATTCCGACATGTTGGATCGGCACAAGTAGCAGTTCCTTCCTGACTGGGCTTTCTTTTTTGCCAGACAGGTGAATCTCTTCGTTTGGTCTGTAGATGCCTCTTGTTTAGATGGTTACTTGTGCTACATGGGGGTGCCCATGCATTTGACAAATAAAATATCATCCTCATGTTGCATGTCCTCTTCACAGAATTATCATGTCGATATATATATATATATATGCCATCACTTTTAGTTGATGCCTTCCCTTTTGTGTTGCAGTTGATAACTTTGTTTCTTTCCCTCACATTTCAACTCCCTCGTCTGCTTGGTCACTTTTTCCACATTTTCGAGCATTGGGTGATGATGGCATATCCGTAGTTACACGTCTTCATCTCGTACATGTCGTCATAATTTAAAATTAAAGTAACGTGTTAAAATTTTCATTTTTAAAATATACAAAAAAATATCGAAACTATTCTTTATTTTAAAATAAATAAAGAGAAAAATTATATTAATGTTGTTTAGAGAATAAATAGTTAAAACGTAGATAGTCCAACTCATTTACAAAAGTTACAAATATATATCTCACAAAAACTTTTATGAAAAAACACGGGGGAAAATCACCCAAATAACCCACTTAGGTCGCATCTATTTCAGTGTACACCACTCAAAAAAAAAATTTTTTTTTCAATTTTAACCCACTTTTCGGTGGGAAAAGTCTGAAATACCCTTTTCGTTTTATTTTTTGCGACTTTATTACGACTAACATATAACTGATATACAACTAAAAATAAGACAGATGATTTTTTGCCACTTTTTTTAGAATCAATTGTAACTATATTTAGACTTAATTACAAAGTCGTAATAACGAAGTTGTTTTTGAACGGATAAATATCGTAATTTATTAAGGGTAATTTCGTCTTTTCGCAGGGAAAAAAATGTGTTATGTTTTTTGGTGTACAGATGAAATAGATGCGAGCCAAGTGGGTTATTTGGGTAAAAAAACCCAAAACACGGCGTGCAGCTGGGATTATTAGAAAAAAAAGAAAGAAAGAAAGAAAGGTATAGACGTTGCTGTTCAGCTGACAGTTTGAACCGCAGTACAGGGAGGAAGAGGGTTTAGGGCTTTATCACACAGAAATCTCCGATGGAAGCTCTAGGTCATGTCGCCGTTGGTCTCTGCTCGCTCCGGAAACCCCGACAGCGGCCTCCTATGTCGCCGGCCAAGCTCCGCCGCCGCCACTCCGCAACCACTCTCTGTTCCGCGAGCAAATGGGCCGATCGTCTTCTGTCCGACTTCAATTTTACGACAGATTCCTCCTCCTCCTCCTCCTCCTCAGTCGCCACCGCCACTCTCGCTGCTCCACCGCCATCGCTTGCTCCTCCCGACCGCCACATTCCGATCCCCATCGACTTCTACCAGGTTTCCGATTTCTCCAGTGCCGGTGAATTTTCGAGCTTGTTGGTTTGGTGTTTTGAATTGTTTGATTTTGGGAGGAAAATGTAGGTGTTGGGAGCGGAGATGCATTTCTTGACTGATGGAATCAGAAGAGCATACGAATCTAGGGTTTCGAAGCCGCCTCAATTTGGGTTCAGCGATGACGCGTTGATCAGCCGGAGACAGTTTCTTCAAGCTGCTTGTGAAACTCTTTCGAACCCTCGGTCTCGCAGAGAATACAATCAGGGCCTTCTGGATGACGAGGAAGATACTATCATCACTGAGGTCCCATGGGACAAGGTGATTTGACTACATTTTCTCCTTACATTTCTGGGTTCCGACATGAGAAAGGAAATAACCTGGTCTGAACTTTATCATTGTTCTGTGTTGATGTTTATGGGAAAAAAATCTTGAAGGTTCCTGGGGCTCTCTGTGTCTTGCAAGAAGCTGGTGAGACTGAGGTTGTGCTTCGGATCGGAGAGGCCCTGCTAAATGAGAGGTTGCCCAAGTCGTTTAAGCAAGATGTGGTTTTAGTTATGGCGCTTGCGTTCGTGGACGTATCGAGGGATGCAATGGCATTGGATCCACCTGATTTTATTATTGGCTATGAGTTTCTTGAGCGAGCTTTGAAGCTTTTGCAGGTATAAATTTTCAGATAGTTTGTCAGGTGATCTTCGGCTTAGAAGGCTTCCTTTCTTGAATCTGTGTAGGAGGAAGGAGCAAGCAATCTCGCAACGGATTTGCGTGCACAAATTGATGAAACCCTGGAAGAGATTACCCCACGTTATGTCCTGGAGCTTCTGGGCTTTCCGCTTGGGGAAGAATATCGTGGGAAAAGGTTAGATGGTTTACGTGATGTGCGTAATATTTTGTGGTCTGTTGGAGGTGGAGGAGCATCAGCTATTGTAGGGGGTTTAACGCGTGAAAAATTCATGAACGAGGCCTTTTCGCGTATGACAGCAGCTGAACAGGTAGAAAATCTCTCATCTTTTTTTTCTTCTGGATTGTTTATTATCTGGTTCTAATTTCATCACTCCTTCCCAAAGGTTGACCTTTTTGTAGCCACACCGAGCAATATTCCAGCGGAGTCTTTTGAAGTTTATGAGGTGGCACTTGCCCTGGTGGCTCAGGCTTTTATAGGTAAGAAACCGCACCTTATACAAGATGCTGACAAGCAGTTCCAGCAACTTCAGCAGGCTAGGGCAATGGCCTTAGAGAGTCCTGCTTTGCTATATGCGCCAAGAGATAACTGGGAGATGGACTTTGCTCTGGAGAGGGGCCTTTGCGCATTGCTTATAGGAAAAGTGGATGAATGCCGTACGTGGTTGGGCTTAGACAGCGAGGTGTCACCATACAGAAATCCATCCATTGTAGAGTTTGTTATGGATAATTCAAACCATGATGATGACCATGATCTCCCTGGACTCTGCAAATTGTTGGAAACCTGGTTGGCAGGGGTTGTTTTCCCGAGATTCAGGGACAGCAAAGACAAAAATTTTAAACTTGGGGATTACTATGATGATCCTATGGTCCTGAGTTATTTGGAAAGAGTAGAGGTAGTTCAGGGTTCTCCTTTAGCTGCAGCAGCAGCCATGGCTAGGATTGGTGCTGAGCATGTGAAGGCTAGTGCGATTCAGGCTCTACAAAAAGTTTTTCCTCCCCGCGAAGTGGATGGAATCTCGGGTACACACAAGGAGGATATACAGGAGACAGTGCTTCCCTTCAGTTACTCTGGTGGCAATTTAGGACCTGAAGAAAGTCAGAACAATTTTTCAGTTGAAGAATCCGAAGGGCCTTCGGAGAACTGTGATTCAAGGGGTTCTGTTGTCCAATCTGAGGTTTTGAAGAATGGCATACATGATATTCATGTTGAAAATTCAATTGCTGATAGAGTAAAAGATGCAAGTGTGAAGATTGCCTCTGCTGGTGTGGTGCTTGGAGTGATAACATTGGCGGGTTTGAAGTTTTTGCCAGCCAAGAGCAGCTCATCTGTTCCACTGAATGACATGGGTTCTGCTATGGCTTCTGACATTGGCGCCACAGGTACGATTTTATGAAAGCATTATGATTGTGGTTTCTAAACGAAAACACTGTGATCATAATCCATGGTTGTTCTCTTGATTTTGGTTCACGCTTGGGTTAAGAGTGCCGATTCTTTAGCCAGAAAGAATTTAGCTAAGATGTATGATAGATGTCCAGAAGTTAGAACTTCCCACGGGGAAATTGTGCACGATTACCCCTTTTGGAATATTGCAACTGCTTGCTTGGAAATAAATTTTAATATATGCTCAGACTGTTTCGCCAAATTCGATATCTTATAAATCTGACTACATTTATATTCAATATTTATGCATTTCCTAGCTTCGCTTCACTTGGATTTTAACTTTTTCCGAATTTTAGGGACAGCAGTAGCTGAAGATTCAGAAGCATTTCCCAGAATGAATGCGAGGACTGCAGAGAATCTTGTCCGAACATGGCAGAACATCAAGTCTCAGGCATTTGGGCAAGCCCACCGCATTGATATGTTGCCCGAGGTAATGCAACTTCTGCAGATGAACCTTTTTAAGTGTCTGTTCCTTTCAAGAGTGAGGCACCTGGTTTTCGGTTAAAATTACAGGTTTTGGATGGTCGGATGCTGAAGATATGGACAGACAGAGCAGCCGAAACCTCACAGCTCGGTTTGGTCTACGATTATACGCTCATGAAATTTTCCATAGACAGTGTCACTGTCTCAGCAGACGGAAACAGGGCTTTGGTGGAAGCGACTCTGGAAGAGTCAGCTCGTCTAACCGACTTGGTTCATCCCGAAAACAATGCCACAGATGTCAGAACCTACACG